TCGTGGGCAGATGACGCTGAGACGCTCAGGTCTACCCAGGGCTACTGCTTCAGCCTTGGCTCAGGTGCCGTCTCGTGGAGAGCTACCCGCTCCTCGTCTGTGGCGCAGTCCAGCTGTGAGGCTGAGATCTACGCTGGTGCCATGGCGGCACAGGAGCTCCGCTGGCTGACCTTCTTGCTCAGTGACTTAGGTGAGCGGCCTAGCTCTGCCCCGGTCCTGTTCGCTGACAACAGGGCCATGATCCTCCTGTGTCAGGAGCCTCGACTCGAGGGCAGAGCGAAGCACATTCAGCTGCGGTACTTCCTCCTGCGTGAGCTACAGCAGCGACGTCAGGCTCGCGTAGTACACTTGGCCTCAGGTGCCAACACGGCTGATATCTTTACGAAGGCGCTTGCGCCTAAAGATCATCAGCAGCACTGTGTACAGCTTGGTCTAGTTCCTGTAGCCTCTCACTTGCTAGGACCTTGACTTTGTACCGTAATCCCCCGGATATAACACCCGCCGGAATAGTCACTCCATGGGTGGTTAATACGGGGGGGAGCTTATGATATGGTGCATTTTTGAGAGTACCCGCTTTTCAGGTGACGAATTTTACATAACACCCTCCTCGTTTTATTCGTTTGAAAACTGAAGTTGTTCTTGTATTACAAGGTCCGCTCAGTTGCAAAAAGCGAGCATGATGAAATTGTGCGTCAACAACCATTAGCACCGGAAAAACCGGGCAGAAATGAATTGTTGGGAATCGAATTGAGGGGAAGGAGGAATCGAATTTTGGGGGAAGGGGGAATCGAAAACGTGGGGGGAAGGGGGAAGGGAATCGAAAATGTGGGGGGAAGGGGGATTCGAAACTTTCAGGGGGAGGGGGATTCGAAATTGTCAGTGAAGGGGGAATCGAAATTGTCGGTAAAGGGGGAAATTCTCGGGGGGGGCTGAAACCGTTGGGCCAGGGGGTTACGATATTGTGGGGGAGACAGGAAAATCATATTGTTTTTCCTCGTTAGCAGCTGCTCCGCACCCTTATGGGCAAATAGGGCATGTAACACTCGAATTCATTTTGCATTTTACATAACACATGGGCGTTATATTTTTCCAGGCCACTGTTAACACCCACTCATTTTTTTAGTGAATTTTCATATCCACCATAGGGTGTTATATCCGGGGGATTACGGTACTGTCCTTTATATGTATTCTCAGACTGGACTTGTGTCCTCTCCCAGTGGCTGGACTAGTAGTGCCGCCCTGCTCTTGTTCTTGCCTTGTCTGTACTCCTTCTGACTGGTCTCTCATACCCTTGTCTCAGAGGTTGGACTAGTAGTGTCGCCCTGAGCTGCTTGTTTAGGACGTTCCCCTATGCAGTCTAGGGGGTGTGTCAAACATGTGTATGTGTCATGTTTGTATAGACTGTATAGGGTCGCCTCTTAGAGGGTACAATTCATAGGTACCGTAATCCCCCGTATATAACACCCTATGGTGGATATTAAAATTCACTAAAAATATGACAGGGTCTTAACAGTGGCCCGGAAAAATATAGTGCCCATGTGTTATGTAAAATGCAATTTGAATTTGAGTGTTTTAAGGCTTATACAGCTACCGGTTCTTGTTCAGACGATGTTGGCGATATGAATGCAGTTGCAGACGTGTCGAATTCGATATCAGCACGACCAGCCGTGGCCAATCCCAGACGGCCGTGCCTGCCAGCGGTAAAAATGCAGCCACAGGCTGCCAGCGCAGGGTAAGAACGGCTGACCGCGCGGTGGATGCTGCCAACGCAGCAGACGTGAGGGAATATGCCCTTCCAACTTGGCATATCGAACCTGGCATGCAATTGTGTTTCCGGTTTGCGAAAGACCGTGCGCGCTCCGGGCTGGGGTTCCAACCACGTTTCTTGCTCATCCCTTTCTTACCGCAGCGTTCTTTTTCAGTTCTGCTTTCGTTTCTCGACACAAAACCCGTCACGATGCCCGGGCCCTCTAACAGAGGCTGGGGCACTAGTCCCTCGTCTAGCAATCTCCCTTTCAGGTGCTGCCATGGCAGCGCGTACGTTTAGCGGCCTCTCTGTATTGCGCACCCATCATCCTCTCTCCGGCAATCAGTTCCTACTCCGTCCGTTCTTGTCGATTCCCCCAGCACCACCTGCACCACCTGCTCCTCCCGCTCCACCTGCGCCACCTGCACCTCCTGCACCTCCCGCACCTCCCGCGCCTCCCGCTCCCTCGTCGCCGAATCCCAGGCGTCCGCCTGAATGGGACAACTCATGGCAAGACGATGAGGACGATTTGTACTGGGAGGAGGCTGCCGACGGAGAGCCTGAGCCTCCGCCGACACTTCCTCGAGTTGCTATTCCGTCTTTCCCTCAGCCTAGGCGTCGTCCCAACATGCCTCGCGTTAACCGTGATGCCGCACCTCCCTCCCCCAGAAATCGCAGGACGAGGCGCAAAAGAGTCTCACGCACGGCGGCCGAGAAGCTCTTCTGGTTGCGCAAGCTTGACGACGACCCTAATCTATCCAACCGCAAGCTCGCAAGGATGGCGGATGTCCAGCCCTGTCAGATTCGCGAATGGAAGAAGAACAAGGTGAAACTGGCGGCGGCTGCTGGCTGCAGGCGTCGTCTCGTCGGCTCAGGGCGCAAGTCGAAGTTTCCCGACATGGAGCGCGAGCTGTACAAGCGCTTCCTCTCCCATCGCGCGCGTGGCTTGGCAGTCTCCATCAACTGCCTGCAGAAGTGGAGTCGGAAGTACATGAAGAAGCGGCACCCTGGAGTCGATTGGCGAGCATCGTCGCGATGGACCTTCCGTTTCCGCACGCGCTGGGGTTTGACGAGGCGTGTGAAGACCAAGATGGGACAACGCCTGACATCCGGTAAGTTTCATTTGCTCCGAGTCTTTCCACACCGTTTTCCTTGCATAATTGACTCTTACTCTTGCGGGTTCTTCCCTGTCTGCCTGTTTTTTGTTCTTGATTTTTTTTGTGCTTGCAGATTGCGAGGCAAAAGTGGAGAAGTTTTGGGAGTTTGTGCGTCAGATGCGGAAATTGAACTGCTACCCCGACGACTTGATAATCAACGCCGACCAAACACCTCTGTTTCTGGAGATGCCGCAGGAGACAACGCTAGAGGTCCGCGGCTCAAGGACGGTGCACGTGCGCACCGCCGGCTACGAGAAGGAACGGCTGACCGTCATGCTGGCGGTCACTGCTGCTGGACAGAAGCTGAAGCCGTATGTCATATTCAAGCGGAAGACCGTGCCCAATATCCGAGTCCCCCCTGGTGAGTTAGAATGTTGTTGTTTGATTGACTCTGTTTATCGTAATCCCCGTCCCATCCGTGTTGTTTTCCTCTTTTTCTTGACCCCGCCTCATATGCTTGTGTCTTTTTGTGTCCAGGCATCGTCATCCGTGCGCAGCCGAAAGGATGGATGGACGAGGAGCACGTGAAGGACTGGATCACAGCAGTGCTCGTCCCGTTCCTTAAGCAAATCCCTGCGAGGCGTGGCGGTCGGGCGAAAGCCCTCGTCGTCCTCGACAGCTACAAAGGGCACCTGACCGAGGGCGTGTCAGCCGCGATGCGCCTCTTCAAGCTCTCCAGGGCCGTGATTCCTGGCGGCTGCACGCCGATCGTCCAGCCACTCGACGTGGCTATCAACCGCTGTGTGAAGGCGCATGTGAGGCGGTCCTACACAGGTTGGTTTGAAGAGTATGGCTGCGATTCAACAACACCCGCAGGTGAGGTCGATGCCGCTCTGTGCCTGCGTTCCGCGCTGCTTTCATTACGTGTGCTCCGTCGTATATATGGCCATTCAGACGCTCGGTCTTTTTATCGATTAAGTGTTTCCGACTCTTAAAGACTGCCTTCTCTACCGCCTTATCTCTCTGCGCCCCCGCCAGGAAACCTCAAGAAGCCCCCCGCGGAGGTGGTGCTACAGTGGGTCGCAACCGCATGGGAGGCCGTCCCTGCCGAGCTCATCCGAAACGCCTTCAAAACCTGCGGCATCTCCACCGACATTAATGGGACGGAGGATGAACTCATCCTCGCCCATATGAAGGACAAGTCAGATGTGGAAGTGATGGATGATGTGCACGCGGAAATGGAGGAGAGCGGCGAGAAAAACCCACTCTACGAAGCAGACTTCGTCGAGCCCGCCGCAGACGAGCTGTCCGAAGATGACGACGACGACGACGACAGCGACGTGCCCCAAGCTGCATCGACGGCATCCGGCTCAGCCGAGGTAGCAGAGTCCTCCGCTATGGCGGAGGCGCGTCTGACGGCAGCAGCAGCAGCTACTGCAGCAACAGCGACGGCCGCGACAGCAGCAGCAACAGCAGCAACGTCGGCAGCAGAAACATCTGCGACCAGTGATGACTCCTCTGAGATGGCGCCAGCGGCAGAGGTGCTTGCTGGGCTCGCGGCCTCCAACTGGACAGACGACTATGACTGGGATGACATAGCGTCCGACGATGACGACGTGGAGGCGTGGCACGCTGGCGACGAGGACGACGAAGAGGATGAGGAGTACAGGTATTAGACTGATTTCTGACTGGGCTTGAGCCCCTCTAGATCTTGCAGTAGTGTTTAGATGTAGCTTCAGTAGCTAACTCTTGACTAGAATTTGAGGCCTGTAAATGCAGCTGTTATAGAATCTTCCATGATGTACTTCAATTCTTAATATTGTATCGATTACAGTAGCAAAAAGGTGGGGGGTGTTATGTAAAATTCAAGGTCGAAAAAGCGGGTGCTCTCCTAAATGCACCCTATCATAAGCTCTGCCCCGCATAAACCACCCACGGAGTGACTATTCCGGCGGGTGTTATATACGGGGGATTACGGTATATCTGTCTGTACACTCTCACTAGCCATTATTCAATTTTCTATTTGATAGACACTTCAGCAGAAAATCACCAGGGTAGTGGTGTGGTGTTTTGTTCTTTGATTTGCCAAACGGATGATGTTTGCCATGCAGTGCTCAACATTGCATCCTCACGAGTCATGCCCGGACCATGCTCACCACAGTTACAGGCTTGTATTTCCTCCATTCCTGTACAAATATGCACCTACAATCCTACGCATGTGAGTACATTACATTGGCATGTAGAAGGGAAACAAGAAAGTCTTGACATGAGGTCAACCACTACTAGACTAGTTCAGGTGCCACTGTACAGTCCTCTTCTGCTGGAGGAATCTCAGTGGCTTCTACACTGGTACTGCTACCAGTAGTAGTAGCATTCCCCTCGTCTAGCCGAAACACTCTTGACTCCACAAATCCATAGCCCCTCAGCTCAATCCTGTCACTGTACACATCCATTATTCCGTGCGCGTCAGAGCCTTCGGGAGCCTCGAGAATGGCTTCTAGTGTGAGGAAATGCGTGCCACCCATGCACACATAGCCCCCCGGGTGGTAGTGGCCTGCACGGAGCATCACAGAAAAATGCACAAGAGCACATGAACCAAAGGATGACATGAACCAAAGGATGACATGAGTGATGCGCGCACTGCAGTGGAAGCATCATTCCACTGCAGTTCAATCCGACGGAAGCACAGACGCTTAGTGGCTGGTCACGTGGCAGTTCAATCCGATTCTTTCCTCTTCACTGCCTCAGACTCTTGCAGGCGAGAGAAGCACAGCAAGGGATTATCGACAGAGCAGGGATGGTTCAGGCCGAAGGGCCATTCTTCAATAAGGTGAGGATGCACGGCGGAGACAGCAGTGAACCACACGCAGTAGAGCCGAACGCAGTACAAGGGGGAACAGGGAGGCAGAGATCACCTGCTAGAACGAGGGCAACTGGCGGGGAGTCCACGAGTAGCTGACAGATCTGCTCCGGGACCAAGGGGAAGGGGCGAATGAAGGTGGGGATTAGGGGATTAGGGAGGGGATTAGGGAGGGGATTAGGGAGGGGATTAGGGAGGGGATTAGGGAGGGGATTAGGGAGGGGATTAGGGAGGGGATTAGGGAGGGGATTCGGGAGGGGATAAGAGGGGGAGGGATGGGGAAGGAAGGGGAATCGGAGGGAATGAATGGGAAGGGGAGGGGAAGGGGGGAAAGGAAAGAGGGGCACGCTGTTTGTTGTCACTACTGACAAGGTGCCTTGAGGTGAGTCCAGGCGACTCGACGCGACTTCAGGGAGTTGGTCTCTGTTGTAGCCTGCATGCCTGCTAAACGGTGCACCAGGTGCTTGCGTCCTGTGACCCCTCCTTCTCACCCTCTCTCCTCCACTCCCATACACAGCTTCTAACCAATGCTTGACACCACATGGTTCCACGTACCTCGGCATGGTTCCACGTACCTCGGCATGGTTCCACGTACCTCCGCATGGTTCCACATACCTCGGCATGGTTCCACGTACCTCGGCATGGTTCCACGTACCTCGGCATGGTTCCACGTACCTCGGCATGGTTCCACATACCTCGGCATGGTTCCACGTACCTCGGCATGGTTCCACGTACCTCGGCATGGTTCCACGTACCTCGGCATGGTTCCACGTACCTCGGCATGGTTCCACGTACCTCGGCATGGTTCCACGTACCTCGGCACGGTTCCACGTACCTCGGCATGGTTCCACGTACCTCGGCACGGTTCCACGTACCTCGGCATGGTTCCACGTACCTCAGCATGGTTCCATGCCAGCAGGTCATCAGGAGCCGACCCCACTGCTACGGGGTGATGCAGCGCCACCACCACTCGCTCCCCTTGCCTGCGTGCACCGCACCCCAACGTACACACATGCATGCATGCATGCGAGCACAGAAAGCCATAGCAAACATGGATGCATACAAGCAGATGTGTGGACGAGCGACACACACATGCATTAGGAACTGGAAGCAGCATTCACACAGAGATTCACTATCCCCATCCCTCCACCTCGCCTCAAGTTTAACCCACCGATGCTCAGCCCCCCCCACCCCATCCCCCTCCCCGGCAACACAGCCTCTTGGCGCATATCTGTTAGACTGTTGCCCCACCTGCCCACTCCTCTGCTTGCTTCAGCTCCTGTAGCAGCCATTGTTTCCTATGCACGGCCCACACCACACCAAATTACACACTCCCCCACCCTTCACCCTTCACCACATAACTCAGGCCTAAGTCCCTTCAACTCTCTCCCCTCTCCCACTCCTCCCCATCTCTCCGCCCGCCCACTCAATCCCCTGCTTGCCATCAACAGCCTTCCACCCTCAAATCGATATACCCTACCCTTCCCCTCTTCCCCCCCTAACCCCCACTCATTTTCCACTCAACCCAATCTCCCCACCTACCCACCCACCCACCCACCCACCCACCCACTCACTCCTCTGCGTGCTTCATCTGCTGCACCAGCCAGTCCATCTGTGCGCGCCCCACTGCGCCATTCCACACTCTCACACTCTAACTCGTTAAACCCTCACCTCGTCTCCCCCCATTCTCCGTTCCATCTCAGCCCCACCCCATCTCCCCACCCACCCACCCACTCACTCCTCTGCGTGCTTCAGCTGCTGCCGCAGCCAGTCCATCTGTGCGCGCCCCACTGCGCCATTCCACGGCACCAGATTGTCCCCCTCCTTGCCCGCCGCGTGCTGCGTCTCCAGAAACGCCTCTGCCGCCTGGTGGGGAAGAGGGAGAGTGGGGTGGGAGGGGGACAGGGAGGGGGAAATGGAGGGTGAAGGGGAAGGGGAGGGGAAGGGGAAGGGGAAGGGGAAGGGGAAGTGGAAGGAGGGGTTAGTGACTTTCAAGCATCCATTTGCGCCTGAGTCACTGCACCGTTCCCCTCTCCTAGCCCACCGCTCTCTGCGCCTCCAGAAACGTCTCTGCCGCCTGGAGGGGAAGAGGGGGAGCGGGGTGGGAGGGGGAAGTGCAGGGGATGTTATGAGACTTCCATTCTCCCTGAACGAAACAGAGAGCAAGGAAACAAAAACTGTTCTTGAGGAGCCTACAACATGGTGCCCTCCCTGCGGCAGTGTACCCTAGAGCCTATTCTTTAGGCACCTCAAAAATTGGAGGGACTGCCAGGCTTCCACTCACTCCGTGAGAAACAGAGTGAAATAAAGGATATCCAAGGTCATTCCCATACAGCAACCACCCATATATCTAAAGGAACCATTCGGGATGAAAGAGACAATGAGAATGAAAGAACGAAGGAAAAGCGAAAAACCATGGAGGAAAGAAACCAAGAGCCATCAAGCAGATCAGAAATACAATATGCTCTGATTAAGGCCATCTTTGGCCAAAGCGCATTCACATGTGGCATGTTGTCTGGCTTCCTGTCGAGAAATCAGTTTTCCCAACCTTTCTCCCCCCCCAGAGTAGTGTACATGTAGATCCATTCCTAAAGGCTTGCATGCTGCAGCCTGCAGATCGAGTGCACTTTCGCCTCAGCTCATAAATGGTCCGCTACATCAGGCCACTGCCCAGCTTTTGACGCGACTCAAAAGCATGCGTGAAGGCTTTCTGTGGATCGAACAAACTTTCTTCTCAGGCTCAGCTCATAGATGGTCCCAGCCCCCCTGCCAAACCACCCCCCTGCCTTCCCCTCCCCCCAGCCCTCCCCTCCCCCCCTGCCTTCCCCTCCCCCCTTCCTTCACCTCCCCCCAGCCCTCCTCTCCCCCCCTCTAGAGAGAGACAGCCATGCTCACTTGATAGTTTTCAGAGTCGCAGGGCCACTTGAGACTGACGTCCATGGAGTCGAGCACGAGCTGGCAATGGGAGGAGGGGAAGGGAAGAGGGGGAGGGGGGGGAGGGGAGAGGGGGAGGGGGGGGAGGGGAGAGGGGGAGGGAGGGGGGAGGAAGAGGGAGAAGGGGGGGAAAGGGAGAGGGAAATTGAGGGCGGCAGCAAATAGGGGAGGAGACAGAGTCGCAGGGCCACTTGAGACTGACGTCCATGGAGTCAAGCACGAGCTGGCAATGAGAGGGGGAAGGGGACGTGGTGGGCAGATCGGGGAGGGAACAGTGGAGCGGCACCTGAGACTGACGCCCCCAGAGTCTAGCACCAGCTGACAATGGAGTGATGGGGAGAGAGCAGCGGGGGGGGGGGGGGGAGAGAGGGGGGGGAAGAGGGGGGAAGATACAGGGGGAGATAGGGGATGGATGGAGAAGAGGTGGGGTGGAGAGTGGGGGGGAAGAGAGGGGAGGAGAGAGAGCGACACTTGGGAGTGCCGGCGATGAGAAGGTATTAGCAGACAATTGGGGATGGAGGGAGAGAGAGTGGAGGGGAGGAGACAGGAGGGAGGGAGAGCAGAAAGTTGAGGATCAGGAGGAAGGCAGCGAGAGGGGTAGGGAGGAAGATGGGGGGAAGATGAAAAGAGGGAGGAGGGAGAGGGAAGAGCAGGTAGAGGGGGGAGAATGCAGGAAACTATGAGAGAGTGGGAAACTATTTTTGAGGCGCCTCAAAAAGAGGGAGGAATGGCTTGGCAGGGAGAGTGGGACGGACGCAGGAAAACGATGAGGGAGTGGGAAAACGCGGTGGAGACAGAAGAAGTCTAGACAGCCCGTGGCTGCACCTGCAGCACTAGTACTTATTCTACTTGTAATCAACACAAGATACTTATTCAAGTGGCGGAACGGCTAGGCAGGCAGGCACAGACCAGTTTCCAGTTGGCAGGGAGAGCAGCGGAGCAGAAGGGCGAGCGAGAGAGAGGTGCTGATGTTGAAGCTCCGACTCAGCTTGCAAGAGCCAGTCGACACGAGGGGAGGGTCGGACGGTATGGACCAGTTTCCAGTTGGAAGGGAGGGCAGTGGGTCAGAAGGAGTGGGAGAGGGCGAGGTGTTGCTGATCAAACATCTCCAGGGAAAAGGCGGCGCAGGAGGGGAGGGGAGGGTCGGTAGATAGGTACGGACCAATCTCCAGTTGGCAGGGAGCGCAGCGGAGTAGAAGGGGTGGGCGAGGGCGAGGCTGGAGAGGAGGATGTCGCGCGGCACGTAGAGACAGTGGTTGCCAAGGGTGTGATGCACGGTGGGGACATGGAGCTGAGTGGAGGGGGAGGGGAAGAGGAGGGGGGGGAGGAGGAGGAAGAGGAGAAGGAGAAGAGAAACTTATCACTGGGCGCATAGAGGCACTAGCTGCCGATTGTGTAATGCGCGGAGGGAATAGGGAGCTGAGAGGGAGGGGGGGGGGGTGGGTGGGAGAGGAGAGGGACGAGAGGGAGAAGGGGGAGGGTTGAAGAAGAGTGCCATGGGAGGGAGAGGATGGGAAGGAGGGGGGGAAAGGGGGGGGGGGGGGGGGGGGAGTCTAGTTTTGAGGCGCCTCAAAGCTGGATGGGGGAAAGGGGGGGGGAGGGTGGAGGGTGTTGCAAGGGGTGGGGAAAGGAGGTTTGGGAAGGATGTTAAAGGGAAGGCTGCAAGGCGGTGATTTGTTTGGAGGTGCAAGGAATGGGGGTGTGGTGGTGAGGGAGGGGCAGCGGTGGTTTCTGTCGTAGTGTGTGTGTGGAATAGAGAGAGAGCCAACTGCGCAGAGGGAGAGTTGTGGAGGGATGTGGAGATGAATGGGCGGAGTGGGCGGAGAGACGCATGCACGTACATCCCAACCACACCCCCCTCCCCACCTCACCAAAACTCCCTCCCCGCCTCACCAACCAACCCCCCTGCCCACCTTAGCCATCTCCCTCCCTGCCCCGCCCACCTTCGCCAGCTCCCCCAGCACGACTCGGAAGTCTTCAAGAGTGCTCTCCTCCGTGTCCCTGCCGTCCACTATGTCGCCCAGCGTCACCACTGCGCTGCAGCGGAGGGGTGGTGTGGGCGGGAGATGAGGGATGGGATGGGGAAGGGAGATGCGGAAACAGGGAGGAGGGGAGGAGAAGTCCCTGCCGTCCATGATGCCGCTCAGCGCCGCCTCTGCACTGCAGAGAGAGGGGGAAGGAGAGGGGGAAAGAGAGGGGATGGGGAAAGGGGATGGGGAAGCGGGAAGGCCAGGGCAGAAACGTGGCGTTATGGTTGACTGTTCCCCACTGCAGTGCACGGGAGATGGGGAGTGCGGGGTGGGGCGAAGGGATGAGGAGGGGTACATGGGGAGGGGGGAGACCGACATGGGGAAAAAGGGGATGGGCTCGAAAGAAAGCCCAAAGGCGGGTATTGGGGGTGACAGATGAAGACATTAGTACAAATGGTGCCCTGCTCTTCTCTCGCCCCCTCTTCTCTTCCGCCCTCTTCTCTGCCTCCCTGTCCTCTACTTTCCCCCCCTTGGATCTCCCATCGTGCTACCCTACTCCCCTACCCTCCCAACCCCCCTCCCCCCCCTTCCCCCCCCCTCTCCTTACCTCAGCAGTGGTTGCGCCTCATTGAATGCCGCCACGGCTGCTGCCAGCTTGCCCGGTGCCTCCCGATACCGCTGCTGCCTGCCGTCCGATGCTGGGGCGGGGGGAGAAGGCGAGAGAGAGAGTGAGAAAGGAGCAGCAGCCTCCCTCCCGGTAACGCTGCAGCCTGCTGTCCGATGCTGGGGAAAAAGGGGGGAGGGGGGAAGGAGTGGGGAGGGGAGGGGGAGAAGGGGGAGGGGGCGGGAGAGGGGGGAGGGAAAGTGTACGGAATGTGGGAAATGAGAATGTTGAAGGACAGCCCCATCAGTGAGACCGGTGCAGCAGGCGAGCCGTCGATTGGCTTTGCTCAACGGACATGTGTGCTGGGCTGCACTGCGGTGCAGTCATTGTTCTTGGCTTGCCTCGCGGTGAGCCTCAAGAGCGGCGCGCGCTGGCTCGTCACCTGATCACAGCACACACACACCGCTCGCTCGCTCGCCCGCTCGTTCGCTCGTTAGCCGGGCTGACCGCCGGGGGGGCGGGTACTTCTGCGAGCGCACCGCTGCGAGATGGCCTTTGAGTCGTGCGACTTGCAGTTGCAACGTCTCAAAAGCATTTTCAATCGCGACGCGACGCGTCACGAAAGACGCCAGACGCGCTCCCGGATCCAGGAGGTGCGGTGGAATGGCACCCTTCCATGTGGCCCGTGCGGGCACAAGGCCCTTGGTGACATATGAGAGTCGACTCAAAACGCGAGCGCCAGATCGAGCCGGTGCGACCGAATGGTAGTACCCTCCAACGTGATCCGTGCGTGCGCGCGCGCGTGCGTGCGTTATGCCCTTGCGAACAATGGCGCCGCGACGCATCTCGGATGCGTCAACTCGTGCCATCGCAAGCACACGCCGTGGCCTCCCCATGCCCTTGACTGGTGCCAGCGGATCGGGACTCAGGAACGTGCGCATACGGGGCAGACCGGGCCGGGGGGGGGTGGGGGGGGGTTGGGGGGGGTGGGGGGTGGGGGAAAGGGGGGGAAGGTGGGGAAGGGGGAGGGGGGGTACGTTCTGATAGTTTCGGGCTCGGCCATCCAAGGCGACTGCTTGGTGGTGCGCGGGGTCAGACCCACACCCCACGTGGTGGCAGGGAGCGACGTACACGTGCGCGTGTCCTTGTCCGCGTATTGGATGTCCGCCACCACGCCAAACGAAAACAGCGGTTTCTCCGCACTCTCCCCCTCCGCCATTCCCGCGCGCGCGGGCCGTCGTTCCCCGCCGCGTGCGGCTTCCGCGGAGTTCCCCCTCCGCGCTCGAGCCCGCGCGGTTACGGAGGCCGCGAGACTGCTCCCGATGAGCGTGGGCTCCCCCGCTGCGCGTACACCCTGCGCGCAATCTCGCGCGGCTACGACGGCCGGTGCCGCGAACGGGAGCCGCTGGATCGCCAGGAGACTGGGAGAATCTACGGCGGAGAAAAGGCGGGACGAGGGAATTTGGAAGCCAGCAGAGCAAGCCGTGGTACCTAGGGCCATATACGTGGCACCGACTAGCTGCAGAGCAAAGCCGTGGAACGATGTAAAAGCTGAAGAGTGGCTGCCTGTAACGGGTTGTGCGCCCTTGGGGATGGCTTCGGGCGATTTGCGCTCAAAGGGAGGTTCTGATTCTGAATCTGTACCACGGTGCGCAGCGGAAGATTGTGGAAGATTTCGCTGGTTGGCTGGAAGGAATCCTCCCTGCTTGCGAGCGAGCCAAACAGGGTCGCAAGGGGAGTCGCAGGGCCAGAATTCTGTCAGTCCGGATTCACGGGCAGTTCGAGTTGAGCCGTTCGCGCTTGTCGCCGAGGTCGCAAGGAATCTTTGCTGTCAACCAACCAAAGGGAATCCCCCGGGTGCCTCTGGAATCTCGCCCCGTCAGGCGCAGGCCAAACCCAATTTCGATGTTACTGTACGAGGCCGGGATTTACAAACGAAGCTCGTCAGAGTCGCACAAGATTTGAGGGTGCCGGAGATTCAATCGTACAAGTATTCGCATGCTCTCGCCACGGGCAAATGAGGTTTTCACACGAGCACACGGCGAAAAGGGTGGCCCTTGGGTGGTGTTGTTTGTTGCCAGTACGCGACTCTTGTGAGGAGATCAGGCGACTGCGGTGCACAGTTCCGTGGCGACGAAACCACGTTGGCAATGACTTGTCCCACGCTTTATGTTGGTCGCAAACTGAATCATGAGTGACTCAAACGGATCTCCCATTGCCCGTATATCGGGGATTTTGAGAAACGATTCTGATTGGGCGCTGGGTTGAGCTGCGATAAGGTTGGGCATTGTCTGCAGCACTGGCAGCACGTAGACATTGTTTACAAATTCTGTGGGGTACTGTTCTGTTAAGACTTCCACCACACTGTACCACGCGAGTATCTAGCTGCAACATGCCAAAACCGTTTCAAGGCCACACTCACCGTTCAAACGCTTCAAAAGCCCAAACGCTAAAATATCACACGATCTTGTCACATGCAAACAGCAACAGGGATCATGTAGGAGCTTCAAACGAATTTACAAATGCCCTTTTTTGGTTGCAGAGACAACCATTGCCACGCCCGAATTTGCCCTCTAACTAAACTCACGAGAAAAGCTTCAATGTAGTATCCATGGACTCATGCTCCACTGAAGGGACGGCTGCTGCCGCAACCGCAATGGCTCCAGGTGATCGTTCCCCTATGCACAACGTCACACCCTTCAGCAGCTGCTGCTGTTCCAGGAGCTGCTTCTGCTGCATCATCAACTGCGCCTGCTGCACCGCCACAATCTGCTTCAACAGATTAACTCCGTCCAGAGCCTTCTTCAGGCCACCAACCGCTGCCTGCCACATGTCATCGTTCCTCACACCCGAATTCCCTGGCGATAAAGATGCATGGCGCTCCATGTCTGCCAGGAGCTGTGACGTCTCCAGAGATAAGGTTGGAATCGATGCTGCAGATGTGATGCTGGGAGCAGTAGTGACAGACAGCGGTGACGAGAGTAAGAAAAACTGTTGCTGCATCTGTACAGCAGGGGGAGGAGCAGAAGCAGCAACCCAAGAGCCAGGATCTAGGGCAGCAGCATTCGGAACACGAGTCAAGGGAGTGGTGGGGGATGCTGTGAGAGGGGAGCTCCACGCTGGGGAGAGGGAGGGCGTTGGGGGGGTATGGCGCTGGGAGGGGAAGTGTTCACATGCAAGGGACGGCAGGGTGCAAGGCGGCGAGTGGCAGGGCTCGACTTTGACAGCAGGAGCAGCGGTATCTGCGCAGAGGCTGATGCGCGGTACAGGAGTTTCCGCCGCTGCACTTCCTGTGGCCGCTGCACCCGCTGCTGGTTCAGGGAGCCTTCGCTTGCTGGGACCGCCACAGCTGCGCCAGCCACCGCCACCGCCGCCACATTTGCTGTCTCCACCCCTGCCACTGCTGCCACTGATAACACCGCTGCCACCGCTGCTATAGCCGTGTTGTGTGGCACATGCCTCCGCCAATTCCTGTGAGTGTCCCTGCAATGCGGGGGCTTCAACCCTATATGCTGCTCCTGCTGCTGCTGCTGCTGCTGCTGCTGCTGCTGCTGCTGCTGCTGCTGCTGCTGCTGCTGCTGCTGCTGCTGCTGCTGCTGCTCGTGCTTCCACGTCTCGTCCTGCGGCCATCCATTTGGTAACCTCTGGCGCAGACCTTACATTCTGAGCAGCAGCAACAGCAGCACCAGCAGCACCAGCACCAGCGCCGCCGCCGCCAGCCCCGCCGCCACCAGCAGAGCCACCAGTAGCACCATTGCAGTTCCCATAGCCAGCGTTCAAAGCTATTCTTGCAACGGCAATGCCGCACATTCGCTTTGCAACGGGCTCACTTGTTGTCCCGTCTTCCTGCGCCTGCTCATTCCCCTGAATCCGCGCATCCCCCTGAACGGGCGCATCCCCCTCAACGCGCGCATCCCCCTGAACGCGCGCATCACCCTGAACGGGCGCATGCCCCTGAACGCGCGCATGCCCCTGAACGCGCGCATGCCCCTGAACGCGCGCATGCCCCTGAACGCGCGCATCCCCCTGAACCTGCGCATTTCCCTGAACCCGCGCATCCCCCTCAACGCGCGCATACCCCTCACCGCGCGCACCCCCCTGAATCCGCGCATCCCCCTGAACCAACGCATTCCCCTGGGCCTGCGCCTGCGCCAGAAAGGCGCTCAGTCCCGGCACACTCGGAGCAGCTTCCGCCAGGGCTTCCGCCAGCGCGGTCCCACCATGCGCGAACGGTGCAGTAGAGCCGCGCAAGCCGCGGCGGCCAGTGGCGGCGGCGTCGCCAGTTCCCCGCCAATTTCTGCGAGCCTCAGCGCGACTCAAGCCAGATGGTGACGCGGCGGCGGCGGCGGCGGCAGCGGCGGTGGCGGATCGCCACGCGTCGGGGCCGTCTGCAAGCCTTTCGCGGGCCGGGACGGACGGACCGCCGTCCGGCGCAGCTCTGCCAATGGCGAGCCTCCTCCTCACCGCTTCCGCGATCGTCGTCGCGCCGGGGATCGCCGCCGCGCTTGCGCCGGATCCGCGGACAGGCCCCCAATTGCGCGGACTCATCTGCGGCGGCGGAAGCTCTGGATCTCGGTCTTCGGGTCGGTCTCCGCGGGACGCGGCGGCGGCGTCCCCCTGGAGGAGGGGCTCTCCACTGCCGATATACGGGAGGCCCGCGAATCCGCGCGCCTTTGCGCGCATAATGGCGGAGGCGGTGGGGGGCTTCCCGCCGCGGAAGCGGGGGAGCGCGAGCGCGCGGGGGAAGGGGCCCGCGGAGCGCGGGTGGTTGTGGTCGTGGCGCGCCTCCACGGCAGTGCGTTCGGGGTGCTCCGGGTGTAAGTCGACGATCTTGCGCGCGCGGCAGCACAGGCGCGCGCGCGCCCACGTGCATTTGTAGTACGCCCTACGGGAGAACCGGCGGTGCGAGCAGGGGCGGGGGGAGGGGGGGGGGGGGGGGGGTGGGGTGGGGGGGGAGGAGGAGGGGGAAAAGGGGGGAAAGGGAAAGGCGCGATTGAGGATACTTTTTGTGACGTTGCAGCGGCCCGCTGGATACTTTTCCCGGGGAGACAGAGACGCATTTCTCCACGCCGCTGCCGCAGCGGACAAGTGCGGCGAAGGCGAGCTCGACAAAGGAAATATGCGGCATTTTGCGGAATAGATACTACCAACTCATACAGCGGTCGTAGCATTACGAGTAGCGCTTCGACAACCGAAATGAAGGACCACGGCGAGTAGAAGGCGGCGCGTTTCGAGGGAGAAATGAGCGACTTGATCGGAGCCACTTGGCACTACTACTATGGTACTACTAGTGGTTCTACTAACTAGTGGTACTACCTTTGTGGTACGAACTAGTGGTATTAACTAGTGGTACTAACTAGCGGTACTACGAGTAGCTACCTGATGGCTGTGTTGTTGCAGATGCGCTTCTCGCCGTACTTAATCCACCCGTACCCATCCGCATTCACCAGCGCCGCTATGGCGCTCGCATCCAAGCGATCCGGAGATGCTGCTACTATCTTCTCCCCTGGACGCATTGCACATGGTAGTGGCTTATCCGACGTGGCCCCGCCTTGTCGCTCCGTCCACGCGGCATCTGCCGCAGAATCTCCCGCCGCATCGCCCGCCGCATCTCCCACCACATCTTCCGCCGCATAACCCGCCTCTCCGTCAACGCCGTCGTTGTGTGTCGCGATGTCGTCACGCGGTGCCGCCAGCCCTGCTGATTCCGCGAAGAGCTCTGGAAGCCTTCGGCCCGCCGGGCCGGCGTTTATCCCGTGCCGTGGTACTTGCAAGGTCGGCATAGATGAGAGGCGGACGGGGTGGGAGAAGACGCGCCGAGGCCGGGGGGAAGGCGGAGAGGCGAATGCCGGAGCTTCCGCCGGAGCCGCCGTAGCTTCCACTTCCGCCGCCATACTAAGGCGCCGCTCCTTGCGCTCCGTGCGCTCTTTGCGGAGTCGCAGCGCTTCTTACCACAGAATGGAGTCGTTATCTGGAGTTACGTACTACTAGTAATGCTTCTTTCGGTGTAGGAGCGGTGGCGCTACTGTTTATTGGCAAGCTACTAGCTAGAAGCATTCAAGTGAAGTTCACCGAGGTATTAGAACGACCAGAAAGCTCCGCCGCGATAGTTGTTGGCCTCAACGAAAGAGGACGGGGGAATCGGGGGGGAGGGGAGCGAAGGTGTAATTCCCGCTATTCGAGTGAGGGCCAGAGGCAGCACAGCGAGTCGCAACATCCTCTAAACGGGCCCGAAGGAGTCGTCACGTCAGACGAGGCGGGGAGGAGGAGGAGGGGGGGGGGGGGGTGTGGGGGTGGGGGGGGGGAGAGAAGGGAGGGAATCAAGTCGGGACTCGGAAGAGTACACTTAGCCGGCGGTAATTTTACACTTCGAAATTGGACGGCAACCAAATTTTTGTTTCCGCCCTGACCATCTGAGTGCGTTAACAGTGCTCCCTTGTTCCTACAGCAGACTCCACGCGGTTTCCTGACTCGAGAAACAGCAAATCGAGCAGTAAACGTTTCGTATAGAAACCGAAACTAAATTTGTATTTCAAGAGTATCCAGATCTGGTCTTCAAGAGCTGCTTTCGGGGGGGTGAATACCCTCTCAGCGGCACTCCCTGTGAAAATACTGGGTATAAAATTACCGGAAGCTTGGTGTATTTGTGGAGAAGGACAGGCGCGGAATGTGGGAGGTCTTGTGGCGGGGGAAGGGGGAGTGGGTTTGGGGGGGAGAGGAGAAGTTGGGAGGAGGTTAAAAAATACGTGTACCTTGTAAAAAGTTTCGGCCTAACAATACGGTGACGCCGAAAACAGACATCGATGTGTATGGTCTGAAAACCGTCAACTGTATTGTGGCCGCAGAAATGCATGTATTTTTGTAAAAAAGGCATTTACTGTGTTAAGAAAATTTTCCCCTCTTAAAAACAACAGACTATAAGGACGCGCGGAGCGGAGCCGAGCGGAACGGCGCGGAGAGGGACGGCGGAGCGGACAGGAAGCAAGGCGCGGGATGGGGCAAGTGGACAACCTGGCATTTGTGGGAGCAAGTTACTGTAGTTTTGGTTCAGTCGAGGGTTGTGCTGAGGGTTGTACACCGCGGCATCTTGTCTGTGGTGTATTTCCACCGCCTGAAACTGGGAGGCAGCGCAAACTTTCGCATGGCCCTTAGATTTTCTGGGTCAACCGATATTATTCTTGCGTTTCTTCAGGATTTAGCATATGCCAGTTTCATGTCGGGCGCGTTTCATTTCGGGAGCAGGATGCGGTAGGTAACTCAAGCGCGTCCTTTTTCAGGGTTCACTAACGTCGCGGAGATCAAGGCTCGGTGATAGAGTCATTCAAACTTTATCGGGTTACCACCTAGGCACCACGTTGCAAAGCTGGAGAAAACACGCACCAAAACTTGGTTCGAATGCATCTAATTCAAAATCTGTTGACGACAGTCACGAAAACATAAGCGACAGTACACCGGGTTTGAAGCCACGCAAGCGCACTAACAAATTGGCCTGGCAATGCGCGAGATTCAAAAGCTTCGCGACTATGTAGTCGCAGACCTCTACATTTATCCCCTACGGCTCGAGCATCGCACCTCGTTGCTACAAGCCCGTGTGCGAAAACCTTTCGAGGAAGTCACAAACGAGCCTAGCATACCGCATCCTAGGCCTCACGATCGCTAAATCCGCATTTACTTCATACGGTGCCTGGCCTTCTTCTAGCACACCTGATGGAAGTACCGGGTATGAAATTCCAGACCTCCAGGTTTTTGGGTCGCCATTTTCGGGTTGCATTCTTGAAAATCAGGAGGACTGGGTCGCAGTTGCTGCGCGAGGATTAGGTGTGGGAAAAATATGCCTCCTGTCTTCCCCAGACTGACAGCAGTTTGGCTGGATGAGCACGGTTAGCTGACAAATTTAGCGGCACACGAGTTCCCCGAACACACACTGCACAACTCCCCAATGCCATACAGGCACAGTTCGCTCTCGCTTCCCTTTGGTTCTTGGACTACCGACTGAATCATACGACTCGCAGTTGGGCTGATAAGATTCGCGGCTCCTTCGACCGCGGGTTAGCCAGGTTCTGAGTCGAGTTGTGGAAACCGACCTGATTCCGTCCGGAGAAGTACACCTAGTCTGCATTATTTGTACATCCAGTATTTTCTTAGTAAGTTCCGCGGAGAGGGTATTCACCCCGCGAAAACAGCTCCTGAAGATCAGATCCAGATACCCTTGAAAAATAAATTTAGCTTCGATTTTTACACGAAACGTTTACTGCTCGATCTAGTGTTTCTCGAGTCAGGAAAACCGACGTCAGCTTAGGCAGTACTCAAAATTGTTTGCCCACGTGGAGTCTGCCGTGCTTAGGCCGTAGGAACAAGGGAGCACTGTCTGCGCACTCAGGAATGATCGGGGTAGAGACAAAGTTTTTTATGCCGCTCAATTTTAGGTTTTAAAATTAACGCGGGCTAAGTGTAGATGCTTCGTTCAGGGGTCAAGTTGGCCAGGTGGGCAACTGAAACTGTTTTCATCTGTCAATGTCAAGGCACTTCTTCGCGCCCAAACCAGAACCACCACCTTGCGCAAACAAGGGAGACAGGCAGACACAGCCAATCCGGTAGGCCCATTCAGACGTGTTACGCGTTCCTCCATTCGTCACTTCCGAATTGGTCAAATTCGCGGTTTGTTCGAGCGGCTTGCTCCATGTCTGCCAATCGCTGCTCCGTGACGGAGGTTCGTTTGCAGTACAGTACGAGTCCAGCCCACTGCCATGTTTCCAAGCTGAACTTGACCTTTTGGCTTGAATATCATTCTGGCTCGTCCAATACAGCCCAACGTCCCTTGTTCGTGACTCGTGAGTCAAAAGCACTTTGACCACGCAATGTTGACGTGTACAGCAGTGTAGAGTGATCCCGTTGGACGGGTGGCATAGCCGACTTAGGGAATGTCCCAAACGTGCGTCAGGTGCACAGTTTGTGAACATCGAATACAACCGAAGCTCGTCAGAGTTGCACAAGATTTTAGGGTGCCGGGAATTCAATCGGTCAAGTATTTCGCTTTCCCTCGCCACGGGCAAATGAGGCTTTCGCACGCGAAATGGGTGGGTATTTGTGGTAGGGGGGCTTGTGTGGCGATGTTTGTTGCTAGTGTGCGACTCTTGTGAAGCGATCAGGCGACGGCGGTGCACAGTTACGTGGCGACGAAACCTCGTCGGCAACACTTGTCCCTTGCTATATGCTGGTCGCAGAACGCAATCATGAGTGGCTCAAACGGATCTCCCATTGCCCGTATATCTGGGGTTTTGAGAACGGATTCTGATTGGGCGCCAGGTTGAGCTGCGATAAGGTTGGGCATGGACTGTACGGTGGCCCAATGTTTGAATGTGGAGACTACAAGTGCGCACCTTCACTAACCATTTACTGTGTAAAAATCGTTTCTCAACGTGGTTCACAGTACAAATATCCACGGGGTGTTCTCTTGGGACAAACCCTAAGGTCTAGAATACACATGTTCCAGAATACAGGCACACATTGTTTTTGCGCGGTGCGTGCATGTATCCTCCGATCAAAACACCAGGCAAACAGGGCTTGTACACTTCGGGGGCGGGAGTAGCCGGATTGTAGTCATTAAAAGCGGACGGCCTATGTGCGTCCGTCTTGGTAACCGGAGCGAGGAACTTTTGACCCACATGAGACGGGTCATGTTACAACAACAATAACATTGCACTACATTTATGACACAACAGATACAAAATTACAAATTTCCAGAGATGGCACCATGTTCCAACTCCTACCCAAGTCCATATTTTCAGCCTTCCCATTTCAACCATATCTACGGTGCCGTACTCCCCCAACTCCCATAGTACCCAACGACACTCGCTGTCACCGGCGTCGCTGCAGCTCCCCTTGTTATCTTGCCCGGCCGTCGCGGTCCGCTCAGATCCCGGGCCGCAGTCTCTCCGACCGCAATCTTCCAGCGCTTCCGCTTTACCAGCCGCGCAATCTCTCCGCCCGCTCGCCTTCCGCCGGCCGTTTTCCGTCTCTTCCCCGTCCCCGCTGCTCCCCGCGCCACCGCCGCCTTGCATGGTAACCACGCCGCGCGGGCTTGGTACTCCCGGGCTCGGTGTGCCAGACGGACTGCCGCCACACTGTCATTTTCGCTGCCGGTCTCCTTCGGCTGGCGGGATAGGCGACGCGCACCCGTCGAAAAAGGAACCTTCAAGGCGAGAGGCAGAAACACGCGCTTTGCTGCTAGTGCCGCAAGCGCCGCCGCAGCTTCATTCGCTATAAACACGTTCGCAGGCTGTAATACCGCGGCTTCGAATGGACCTTCAGTGGGAGGCGGTTCGACCGAGTCCGACAGCAACGCCAGCCACTCGATCACTGTGCGGTGCTGTAGAAGCTGCTGACGAGGCCACTCTGACGTCAGCCCGCTGCTGCTGCTGCTGCCATGAAGCGGCTGATGCTGCGTCGCCTACATCAGCAGCAGCAGCGCTTCCGTGAGTTGCGGCGACGGCGCGACACCGCTCGTTGGCACCGGCCCTACAAACCCTGCTAGGCCCGCAGAGTTCTCGAAATAAGAGGAATCGACATGACGGTTGGAGTGACGGGTGTCCCCGAGACCTCGCGCTGAGGTGAGGGCGGCAGAGTTAGACAGGTGGAGCTGCGACTGAAGCTGCCACGTGTGCCGCCTCCGCAGATCTCCCACCTCGTTGTCGTCCTCGTTCTCGTCCGACCCGCGGTCTTCCTTGTCGCTCCTCGACTCCTGCGGCGAGTTCCTGGCACCGCAACCATCGGCGGCGCATTGACGAGTAACGATAACGAGTAAAGAGCAGGCAAATACGTTGTCATTTGGGCGAAAGCGGAGATGGATGGGGTAACAGTGTGTGGCTGGAGGTTGTTCGGATAGACATGGCTCATACCCACACATTTGAAGTTCGTAGAACACGCAGGTGAATTGCGCTGGCGAATGCTGACGTGTTCTTTGGTTCATTCATTCGAACATAGGAATCTGTGCATGCTAGAAACTTCCGTCTCTACGTGGCATGTTAAAATCTCGTTTGCTGACCATAAGCCTTCTAGTGACTTCGCTAGGCTGTTGGTTTTCGCTAACGAGATCTTCTCGACGAATCCTATTGGTTGCCGTGGAATCTGTGTGCT